TGTTTGCTACTGAATCACCCAAAAACTACTGAACAGATTTGGATTCAGCTGTCACAGTTACTAAGACATTTATTACTACGAAATAGCACAGCGCAAAAGATATTGTCGTGGATTTTTCACCTCACCAACTCCTAAAAATCGTACCTTTTTCGATCCATCAGAATTGTCAGAGGCTAAAGCAGTCATTCACACTTTACTTACTTTACTACTGTGACAAGTAGATATAGGATTAGAGTGGTATGAGTAAAAATGCCGGCCAAGTGCGAGTCGGACTCGCCCACCGAGGGTTCCGTACAAAGTTTTAACGCAACATAAACTCTCCCTTTCTCTACGTCGTTTTTTACAGCTTCCAGTGACCGCAAACCTTAGTGTATGGTGTATTCGATACGTCTACGTGTTTCCGAGATAAAAGGACAGACAGAAAGACGGGTGGACAGATGTACATCAAAGTGATCCTAGAAGGGTTCCGTTTTTCATTTTTAGGTACGGAACCCTAAAAATAAGTGTAGGCAGTTATCATAATAATCAGGACAATAAATCTCATTGAGCGTATTAGTATAAGTATTAAATTTTGCCTTACTGAAAAGAAAGTTGCATTATTACCTTCAGCAGCAGTTTTACCCCATATAATTCTTTTGATAAATTTTCAATATGAAATGAATTCGTGATTCTATTCCTTGTAATTTTCTTCCTTTCTATTTTTTTTAGCTTCGAAATCCATAAATTTAAATAAAGGCAAAGTACATATCACACCGAATAGGTCTCGACAACGTAAACGCCCTTTAAAGCCAATTAAAAAGAACTACCTAATAGCAAGAACTAACACAATATATAGAAAAAGGTTACGTAATTGTAGTAACTACCCGACATTTGGGTTCATTCATGCCGTGGTACCCTTGCCCACGACTACAGCATATTTTACAGGCGAGAAGTCGTAAAGATAGCCGCCCTACTAGAAAGCGACCTAACTTTATTATAGATAGATTTATAATAGACTAGTGACCCTCGCTTCGCTTGGATGTAGGGTAAAGTTTTGTTCTAGGATCATGATAGAAACTGAACAAATATTATAAATGCGTTTATTTGTTTGTTACGCGTTCACGTCACGCCTAACCCAATGAAGCGATTATGCTGAATTTTATTATAGACACAGATACGGACGGTTATAAACTACTTTTTGGCGTGGAAATAATACTTGAAGGGACTGAAATGGGAGATTAAATATTGTATATAAAATAAAACTAGGTACGCAAACGAAGTCGCGGGTGCCCGCTGATATTGAAGCGGAGGGGTACTTTGTTTTTAGGGTTCCGTACTAAAACGTTAAAAACGGGACCATATTACTAACACTCCTCTGTCTATCACCAGGCTGTGTCTTATGAACCGTGATAGCGATATTCGTCGAAACCCCATTAGGAAGCAAAAAATCTTATCGCAAGAAATGAAGATTCCCGCTAGGACTATTAAGCGTATTATAAAACAAGACCTGAAGCTCGGTGCTTATCGTTGATATAGAGAACATTTCCTTAATCAATCTTTACAATTAAAGAGCCTTCTGACGCGATACGCAGATGAAAAGCACAGAAATATTCTCTTTACTGATGAAAAAAAATTCACGATTGAAGAACACAACAATAAGCAAAATGATAAAGTGGACGCTCACAGTTGTTTTTTTTTTGATAATATTATAATTTTATTACTCTGCACAACTTACATAATATGGGACGCTATATAAGGTGGAAATAATCTTACATAAGATGTGAGAGTCTGGTGCCTGAAATAGGTACGGCAATACCTGTGTTACAGGTCACCAGGCCCTACTCATCGAATCCGAACATAGTAATATAGCTTATTTAAAAATAATATTTATAATACTACCTTAAAGACAACAACTAAAATCTCAAATATAAATGAAAGTGTGTGACGTGCATGCTCGTGTGTGTGTTTGTGTGTGTGAGTGTGTGTGAGTGTGTGTTTGTGTGTGTTTGTGTGTGTGAGTGTGTGTGTGTATGTGAGTGTGTGTGGTTATGTGAGTGTGTGTGGTTATGTGAGAGTGTGTGAGTGAATGAGTATGACAGTGTTTAATCTGGGAAAGCATGAATTCTGAATTAATGTAAGCATGGTTTTTAAGAACGTTATTATTTATATTGTGACATAAGTACTTCAGTTGAGTCATAGTCCAATGCTTTGAGTCGGCTTCTTTAAAATTATGCTTACACATAGGGTAAATATTTATGTCTTTATTAATCTTATTATACAAATATGGACCTAGGAAAGAGTAGAATTTATGAGAGTGTGCTTTTTTAAATAGCTTGATCTGGCAGACATTGTCCTTTCTGCGTCTGTCTTTTAATTCATCAGGTTTAAATTCAAATTCAGAGTGTTGTTGAAAAAGGATACTTAATATAAATATTTGCCTTACAGATAGGACTTCCCATTCTTCAAAGAGGGTTTTTGTGGGGAATCGAAAAGGTAGTTCAGCCGCAGTTTTCAAAATTGCCCTTTGTGCTCTCTCTACCTCAATCATACACGTTTTGGATGATCCACCCCACGATGTAATGCAGTATCCTAACAAAGACTGGCACAAAGCATAATATACCATCTTGATGGTGCGTTTGTCCGCAACGTGGCGTAAGGTCCTAAAAACGTATATAAGTTTCCGTAGTCGAGCAGCAAGTGTTTCTAAATGAGGCTTAAAAGTTAAATTTTCATCAATAATGACGCCAAGATATTTAATAGATTCAGTTCTTGCCAAAGTTCTAATCAATATACAGTCTGAGATCATGTTGTGAAACATCGCAGCAATACGCTTTTTTAAAATACACCATGGACTTTCCAGCAGGATTCTGCACCTGCTCACAAGGCCCAGGCCTACCCAGGCCTAGTTTGAAATAAACGTACCGGACTTTATAAGAACTGAAGACTTGCCCTCATCTAGCCCAGACCTCAACCCTTTAGACTTCAAATAATGGTCAGTTTTAGAGGCCATGGCCTGCTCTCAACGACACGACGACATTGAGTCTCTTAAAAAATCTTTGGAGCAAGCAGTGCCGTAATTTCCCTTGGAAACATTGCGTAAATCCGTAGATTCGTGGCCAAAAGATTAAAGGCTTGTACAAAAGCCGAAGGTGGCCATTTCGAATAGAATATTTCCCACGGGCCACGAGGAAGAAAACCTCTTTAAAAAATCACCCTAGGTGGGGGACAAAGAGTGGCCCTGGTGTCGGAGGGCAGTGCACTGCTTGGAGGAGCTCGTAACCCCGTATGTAGTGCGGTGTCGAGGGCCGTCATCTCCCTCGGTAGATGGGGGACGCGAGGAAGAGAACCTCTATGAATTACCTGGTAAGCCTCGACTGGCGCCCGGGTAGCCTGGGTAGCAGCAGCCGAGACATTTGGAGGGGTGGAAACGCCTGTACGGTGAGGGCGGTTGTGGCGCGAACTCCGCTCCACCTCCAGCTGACCCGTGATCCCGCACGTGGTGGGACAGAGGAGTTGGGGTACAACTGCTGCAACGTAGTGGAGATGGCGAGGGCGGTCATCTCCCTGCCCTCGGTGGGTATACCCGGGGGACTGGACATACGAGAGAGCCAGACCGAGACCAAGCTAGTCTTGGTCGTCAGAGGGTCGTCAGAGTTCGGGTGCCCCGTCGAAGCCGCAAAGAAGTTGGCCCAGGAGGGCAGATTGAAGGTGGGTTGGAGCAACGCCATGATGAAAGTCCTCAATCCTCTTCCCCTGCACTGTTTGGGGAAGGGGCATCTAGCCTGAGTAGCCAAATGTGCTACCGTTGCGGGGTAGAGGGGTAAAAGGCGGCAGATTGCCGAGCTGCGCCCCGCTATGCCGTTTGTGCGGGGGCTGCCCGCAAGGCAGGCCAAAGGGGATGCGACCCTCTTATCGCCAGAAGCAAGCTCTCTGAGGGGCGGGTCGCTGAGTCCTTGGAACCAGAGTCAATTCAATCACTCGTTACGTGCTTAGAAATATAAATTATAACTGTTAATGCTATTTCTTCTTTCAAATGTTTAATACTTGTAAAAGTATTCATTTGACATTATGGATTTCCTACAATGCGAAGAAATTATGCTGCCTTGCAGCTTAAGAAAGGCCAGAAAGAGTTCGAAACGGCCATCGGGGCCGCGGTAGCATAATGGTCAGCGCATTCGCCCGGATAGCGAAGGGTGCAGGTTCGAGTCCCGTCTGCTACCTGGTCCACGTGGATTTTTTCTAGTAATATTTTCTTTAGATTTAAACATCGAGCAGTTACATGCTTAAAAATAAAAATTATAACTATAATTACTATTTTTCTTTCAAATGTTTGATACCTGTAAAGGTATTCATTCGACATTGCGGGTTACCTAAAATGCGAAGAAATGGCACTGCCTTGCAGCTTAAGAAAGGTTAGATAGAATTCGACACGGCCATCACGGCCGTGGTAGCATAATGGACAGTGCATTTACTCGGATAGCGAAGGGTGCGGTTTCGAGTCCCGTCTGCTGCCTAGTCCACGTCGAATTTTTTCTAGTAATATTTTCATTATATTTAAATATTATTATTAACTATGTTAGTAGACATATATAAAAATAAACACGTATAGAAGGCGATGTATTATGCAGGGTGTGTCCTTTATAAACTCGACAAAACCTCGTGCAATATGCATAACATTATTATGATATTCAGCATATGCATTGTATTTATATTTTATAAGTAAAATTCTTCATTTTATTATATTAAATGAAGAAGTAAGGACGATATCATATTTTTATTGCGACCATTAAAAATATACGTTATAACTATGTAGTACCAGCTTACCAGTCACGGATACCTACTTATCTTACATAATTACAGAAATCATGTGTGAAAATTTATCAAACAGAAACAGATGTTCCGAAAGTTTTATTTACGATTGAGTCATTGATTAAAATAAAAGGAGTGATTTTCTTTTAGAATAGGTTATTTTCTTGAGATTTCAAAAATACCGCTGGTTAATACTCTTATACTGAACTTACCTCGCCTGAAGCGAAACAGTGAAAGGGCACAGAGAATCCTCCGGAATAGCAAAGCACTTAGCAAACTTCAAAAGCTTACTCAAAATTTGCAGACCCCGAACTAGAAGTTATCAAGAATTTTCGAATGCAATTTTATTTTATTTTCGTAATGTATTTTAGTGTTGTAGATGGAGAGATCGTTCGTATAGTGGTTGGAGCACGCGCGGCAGTGACGCAGGGCGGTTTTCGCGAGGGCGGTTGGGCGGCGACTGACGTGACGCCGCGTCCTCCGCCTCAACTAGGAGCCTCCTCGCCCGGACACGCTTCCTGTTGATCATGTACGCGACAGGTGCTTTAGACCTTTTAATCAAAACTACCAGTTCATGATTGATAACTCTTCGACACCGTTCTAATTAATTTCTTATCGATTCAGTTCTAATAACATCCTGATTAGAAGCGTTCGGTTTTTTTGTGTCCATTAATCATCTTTGTTTGAAATGAAACTCTGAGAAGTATTAAATTTTTTATTTATAAAAATATATATTGTTTTGTAAGGAAAGTATGCCAGACTGAACTAGAATGAAGTGATAATATAAAATGTTCTATATGCGATATTTCCCACAGAGTTGTTACATCTCTATCAATTGCGAGATAGCTGTGGTAACTATTGTGGCTGACAGCGTGTCACTATTGTTTCCGGATAACATCTTAACCTCAATAAATGCCCGTTGTGGAATAGGTGTGGCTTAAGAAGTATTGTTTGTGGTTATTTATATCTTTCTCACCACCGATTATATATTTTTATATGCAGGAAGACACGAAATGTTTTTTTTAAGGATTGAGACCTTTTTTGCGTTAATAACTTGGGATAGAGGGAATCTGGCAGAATTTCGTAGCTGCGTAATTCTTATACAATGTGCGATTGATATAATTATTTCGGGTAAAAAGCTATAATATGAGAAAGGGTTATCGATGGATATCGATAGAGCCTTTATTACTTAGTAGTACCTATTGTCCTGTTATCGCCTCCAAGATTATTTTTTCTTTACTATGTAGTACCCTCAGTACGACCGACAGTTACGATAGATTTCTTAGTTTAATAATAATTAGTCGTTCAACTTTAGTTAAAGAAAATTTCTTACCTATTGAAAATTACTTACAAGAAAACATTAATAGTGACGACATAGATAAAGTTATTGTAGCGTAAAACCTTGCATTGAAAAACAAAATAAAAATAAAACTATTAAAACACCACAATAAAATATAATGAGCTCTACAAAGCTACTGGGAGTACCAACGGCAACGGCTTCTGAATCGTGCTATCGATCCGTTTTAAGAGTTTAATTATAAGCACTTGAAAAGATCAGCCATCATTCCTCAGTTTCCAGTGGTCTAGAGGCTCCAGACGGAGAGGAGAGATGCCATCCCCGTGGGGAGATGCCATCTGCCGGGAATACCTCTAGAGGCACTCGCCAATTCTTGGCTTGAGGTCCCCTTAGGATCTCGCCGTCCCCAAACCCCATGTCGCTGTAAAGGTCATCTAGAACCAACAGCATAAACACAAAAATGAAAAAAAGGCCATCATTCGTATTTGATAAAAGAAAATATCGAATTGTTTTTGAGTTTGAGACGCAGATTGACTTTGATTTAGGTATTTTAGTTGAGATACATAGTTCGATAATAATTGTTTTTTTTTTATTTCTAATACAGAAATAAAGACTCCTGCTCAAATATATTATGGTATGGTAACGCAAATATGGAACCTTACACTGCGCTTGGCAAGACTAGCACTTAGCCGGTTTTTCCTTAAAATTTAAGCTCTTAACTGGGAGAAGCTGGTTCTAGGCTGCCCCGCCCAGAGATGAGTACAAACCGTATGTGCCGAACCTGTGCTTTATAAAAGATGCTGTTTTTTACATTTTATAATTCACAATTTATCTCGTTGCTGTGGAGTCAAAATATATATAACATATGTAAAAAACATATTAGATACCTACATACGGAATATTTAATGTGTATATTAAGTAATGGTATCCGAAATCTGTTCTTATTTTTTTTCTAATGTACTTTTACTTAACGAATTCTGAAATTGTCGGGTCGGGGAGGCTTTCGCGCTTTGTAAATGGCTTCCTCGAAACGATCTGATCAATCAAGAAATATTACTGCATGTATTAAGTGTGTCGAACTGTGCTTCGATAACGTTATTACTTTCATCGGAGTTACGTCTGGTGTGTAATTTATTCTTAAGGGAGTGGTCCTTCAAACAGTGATTAAGAAAGTTTTGCTTGCCACTTGGATACATCGATAAAATAAAGATCCGCCCACTAACCACGTCACTTCGGCACGGTTTCTTTGGCTTCTCTCAAATCTTTTGATGAACACTACTCATAATAATAGCCAGGTAATTTCCTGATCTAATATTATACTCTTGGTCAACGGAAATCGTCAAAACTAATACTAATATACATTTTCAATAATACATGAAATGATTATTCTTCTCTTGAAATATTTATCGATGCAACCAAAATAAAAAATTAAGAAATCAAAATAATCTAGAATTTCAATTAAATGATAGAATTTTCTACTTTATTACGTAAAAATTATACCCGAAACGTTCCATTACAAGCCAATTAAGTTTAAGTTATTAAATATGTTTTGATCATGCTGATTCGAGTATTAGGTTCCAATATTCGGCGGAGACGGTAAGATTAGAAATTCAAGTTCGTCATTTCCTTTGTAGCCCCCGAAACACCTCGGCACCTTATCGAACTTTAGCAGAGACTGAAACGAAGATCCAATTAGTCGACTAATCGCCCTGAAGCTCTGAAACCTTACCCCTTGAGATCGATAACAGCTTCTGTCAGTACTAACTATTGAGAAATCAATCAAAATTCTAATACAAAATAAATAAGACAAAACATGATACGATAAACATTACTTTGCGGAGAAAACTGATGAAGAAATCTGCATAACTTTTATAGAATACATTATATACTATACTATAAAAATATCAACAAATAAGATAAATCAAAACCATCAAATAGTCGCGCCTTTTAATTAAAGGTTATATAATCGGCCATGATGAGTGGAGATCAAATAAGTGACTAGAAAACATTAGAAAAATATCGAATTAGTTTCAGGTTTCGGGCTGGAGTCGAACTAGCAAACTTTGCTTACATGGCAAATGCATTTACTATTCAAAATAAAATATCTTCACTCAAAATAGATGCACCATTTTGAGTGAAGATATTTTATTTTTAGTTTTAGTTCCATACTTACAACTATTTTGAATCGTCACGAAGTTTTTCCCTGTCACCCTTTAGGCATTTGCCTCACCGCCGACGATGATCGAAAAGCGAGTAGAGCTAGGAACTAATTGACGATCGGCGGGAAGCGAGTGTTGTATCGGCCAAGCGAGCATCGCTGAGCATGTGTTATCTTTGACAGCTCTTGTGACAAACTAGTGGAGCGAGTTCTCGCTGGCACTGTGAACAGTCAGCGATCAACTTTAATGTATGCATCTCTTTCGTTTACACGGAATGTATATCTATTGCATGTTTTATGAACGAGAAAATAGCCGATAGCTAGCCGCTTTCTCGCCGGCGAGCGGTGGGACAACTAACTGACTTAGCTGCAGAGAAAAATCAGGGAAAATAACTCTACGTGTGTGTGTGAAAGAGTGTGTGTAGCGTGTATGCATGTGTGTGAGCGTGTATGTATATGTGACTGCGTGCGTGTTGTATTGCGTATGGGCATTTTTGTTCTATCGCTTTTATTCTGTCATATTACATTAATATACTAATTGGTTTAATTTATATTTTTTGCAAAGAAAAATAAGCTTTATTACTTAGTCACCAAGCTTTATTACTTTGACACTGAGGTACTTGCGATCACACGCTCCATCTAAGAAATTTTAAGCAAACTATTATAAAGGTTAGATAATTTAAAGTACGCATGCTTATATGCTAGTCTTGCTACAAAAGCACTGCCGTAATCGTATAAGAAAATGCTTCATTTGTCGATAGATGGCGGCACTTAAACGAATTATAAAACAATTTATTTACATATTTTACAAAAAGATTACATAGAAGCTATGTAGCGATTAACGAGCAAGAAATAAACTGTTATAAATATATCAGACGATATCTATTAAATAAATATTTTACAACATCATATACAAAAAATTAGGTACTATTTAAAATTAGTTAATAAAGCTTTTGTATTAAGGGAATCAGAAAAAACTACGATAAAATAATCAGCTAGACCCGAGAAAATAAAAATAATAATTTTATAAGTTGACCCGAGAGAGGATCGAACTCGCCCGCGGTTTTATTTGTTACCAGCTATTTTTATTTTATTTCTTGTGTTATATTTTTCTTATCTTAAGTTTTTTTCGATATATTTATTTATAAAAAAATACTGTAATAAAATTGCAAAACACCTTTCCAATGATAGGATTGTTGATGAAAATCAAGCCTGTATTAATAAACAACTTAGGCACCTACCAAACGTTTAATACTTAACTATTCAGGTATTGTAGAATACTGGGCAAAGGAGATTGCTCAGCTTCCATACATGTTTGGCCTAAAGACCAATAATCATAAAAAAATGTTTCCTAGATTCGAAATTATATATGAATTACTGTAGAAAGGAATATTATTGACGGACACCCCTGAGAAGTTCTCTAAATCATATACACTGAACATATTAAAATAATAAAAAAAACAAATAAGTTATATAGTAAACTAGAGAAATCAAGCCAAGTACCGAAATTATGGATTAGATTCAGGTATATAGAGCATGTAGATTAACAGATAGTTGCCTGTTTTCAAAGTTAATGCATAAGAGTAACTTATAAAATCAGGTGTCATCTATGCATTTCCGGTTATAATAAAGTACTCTGTGACAGAAACTGTGTGAGTGATGATTGTGAATGAGCCACAGATTAGAGAGAATTTTAAAACTCTCGTTAACCAAAGAAAGCTTTTTTTAGGCTTCATTATTTTTGTTATGTTTTTAATACAACCATATTTTAGATTTTTATTTTAGATTACACCTCATAATTTTATTTATATATTTATTTATAGTCAGGCAACGTAGGCCCATAGATAGATACCTTAAAGTCTAACATATATACAGATTATAATGTGTTTATGGAGATGTTTGGCGAAAAATGTATGGCAATAGACTTTATGAGGTCGCCTACCATCTATAATAATTGTCTGAGCACATTTGCATGTAATGAAAATGATAATATAGTTG